GGGTTTGGGGTTTGGGGTGTAGCGTTTAGGGTTTGGGGTTGGGGGTTGGGGGTTTCAGGCTTAGGGACTGGTGTGTCTTGTTTGCGGTTCTAGGCTCCGGGGATTTAGGGTTTGGGGTGTGGTTGCTATTTGCGGCTTAGGGTTTAGGGTTTAGGGTTTAGGGTTTAGGTTTTAGGGTCTAGGGTTTACGGTTTAGGGTTTAGGGTTCTAGCTAGGAGGGCATTCATGAGCGCGGATATCCCACTTGGCTGCTGGGTAAACTTGCCCTAGGAACCTGCGCCCTGTTGATGTTTGGGATCTATCACCTGCTTCCGTACCTGGTTTGGTCGCTCACTGTGTGCTTAGTCCTGCTTCCTACCGGTTCAGGCATTTTTGAAGACCGAAGGTAGGGGTCTAGGGTATAGGTTTTAGCGTTTAAGGAGTCCGGGTTTGGAACTATGCGTTCGGCCAGCACGCCGGAGAAGTGTTAGGGCTTAGGGTTGAGGGTTCAGGGTTTAGGGTTTGGGGTTTAGGGGTCCGAAGAGAGGAGTTGCTCCTGGACCTTCTCGTCGCGCAAGGGCAAGTCGGCGAGGACGCCAGGGGAAGCCCATGAAATCCAGAAGCGAAAACACCCCCTAAACCCTAAACCCTAAACCCTAAAAACCCTAAACACCCTAAACCCTAAACCCTAAACCCTAAACCCTAAACCCGAAACCCTAAACCCTAAACCCGAAACCCTAGACCCTAAACCCTAAACCCTAAACCCTAAACCCTAAACCTATCTAAGCCCTGAGCCCTATGAGTGTCTATAGATCCGAGACGATGGAGCCGGTAGAATACCTATCTACGGCTCTTAAACCGGGAGGACGTTGGCAACCAAACCTGCTCCTGCAAACGTTAGAACCGAAATTCCTGAAAACCCTTGAAATCCTCTGCTTCAACCACAAACCCCCGAAACCCCCTAAACCCCCGAAACCCCCCTAAACCCCCTAAAACCCCCCAAACCCCCTGAACCCCCTAAACCCCCTAAACCCCCTAAACCCCCCTAAACCCCCCTAAACCCCCTAAACCCCCTAAACCCCCTAAATCCCCCTCTTAAACCCCCTTAAACCCCCGAAGCCCCCTAAGCCCCCTAAACCCCGTAAACCCCTTAAACCCCATAAACCTAAACCCTAAAACCTAAACCCTAAACCTAAACCCTAAAACCCTAAACCCTAAACCTAAACCCTAAACCTAAACCCTAAACCCTAAACCCTAAAACCTAAACCCTAAACCCTAAACCCTAAACCCTAACCCTAAAAAACCCTAAACCCTAAACCCTAAACCCTAAACCCTAAACCCTAAACCCTAAACCCTAAACCCTAAACCCTAAACCCTAAACCCTAAACCCTAAACCCTAAACCCTAAACCCTAAACCTCCTCCCCCAGAAACCTGTTCCGCCGGTCTAGGAGATCCTGCTGCTGGCCAAGCACTACGCAGTCGACAAGGCCGACCTCTTCTGCAGGCTCCCTGGTGGCAACTTCGGGGTTTGGGGTTTGGGGTTTAGGGTTTAGGGTTTAGGTTTAAGGTTTGGGGTCTGCTGGAGGGCGGCCAGGTCTACGACATCGCCACCATGAGCTTTGCCCGACCCCGGGCGAGAAGACTGCTTCTCGCGCTGCATGCGTGGAGCTTCGAGGAGCCTGCTTGGAGGGCACGCCGGCGGAACAGATGGTCTTGGGCGCAGGATCCTTTCATCGCGGCCGCTCCGTGGGCGCAACTCACAAGGTTCAGGGTTTGGGGTTTGGGGTTTGGAGTTTAGGCTTGGGGTTTGGGGTTCTTGGAGGTTCATGGTACTCGTGAACCAATTGTACCTGCACTTTTATCCACATAAGGGCACTTAAGGGGCTTACAAGTGGGTTGTAAGTACAGCTATAATTGGTTCATAAGTGCCATGAACCTCCAAGCAGGGTTCAAGGTTTGGGGTTTGGGGTTTAGGCTTTGGGGTTGACGCGGACTTGGAGCGTCAATCCGATCCATATAAGTGGAACAGCTGATGTTTCAATCTGCACATGTGGCTTGTCTCTCAAGTATGGTGATGACGCCAGGAAGCAGTGTGCGCAAGTGACTTATCATCTCTCCAATTTAGAGAGATGGCGCTTGGGTTTGGAGGTTTAGGGTATGAATCTGGGGTTCTGGGAATTTAGGGTGCCGGGGCACCAGAGAGCCCGACAACTCAATAATACCGCCTTGAGAAGCCCCCCCCCCCCCACTCTGGGAAAGGGCAGACCAGTGCTTTGGAGGTTCATGGTACTTATTAACCTTATCAACCAATACTAGCTGTACTTGTATCCCACTGATAGGCCCCTTAAGTGCCCTAATAGGGTTTTTAAGTGCAGTTCTAAGCAGCAGCTATCATGGGTCAAAAAGTACCATGAACCTCCAATTAGGGGTTTGAGGGGTTTAGGGGGTGTGAGGGTGTAGAGGGCTCGTGGGAAGATCCCTGCCAAAGCAAACTGCAGCCTTGAAGTCCCTATCTCGAAGTTTATAGGATTAGGGTTCAGGGGGGTAGGGTTTAGGGTTTAGGGTTTAGGCTTGAGGGTTTAGGTTTAGGGTTCAGCGCTCAGGGTGTAACCCGAATCCCCAAACCCCAAACCCTAAACCCTAAACTCTGAACCCCTATGCCTTAATCCTGTACACCCCAAACACTAAACCCTAAACTCTTAACCCCAAACCCTAAACCCTCAACCCTAAACCCTAACCCTAAACCCTAAACCCTAAACCCTAAACCCCAAACCCTAAACCCTCTACCCTCTAAACCCTGAACCCTAAACCCTGAACCCTAAACCCTGAAACCGAAGCCCTCCACCAAGTCGCCGAGGCTGGCGCTGAAGTCTGCGCAACGCCTGGCCGGGTCTTCACCTGCGCCGATCGTGCAGGAGCTTCCCGGGTTTAGGGTTTAGGGTTTAGGGTTAGGGTTTAGGGTTTAGGGTTTAGGGTACTTCTAAATTTGGGTCCCTTGTTTGGGGGGTCTATGACTTGAAGGGTGCTTGCACTAGACATAGGACCCAACAAGGGGCCCGGGCTTATGGAGCTGCCCCCTCCCTTGCACTGGGTGGAGGGCTCCGAGGCTTCAGGGGGCCTTTAGGGGGTTTAGGGGAGGTTTAGGGTTTAGGGTTTAGGGTTTAGGGTTTAGGGTTTAGGGTTTAGGGGTTTAGCGGGGGTTTAGGGTTTAGGGTTTAGGGTTTAGGGGTTTAGCGGGGGCTTTTTTTTTTGGGGGGGGGGGGGGGGGGGTAGGGGGTTTAGGGTTGAGGAGGTACGAGTTTAAGGATTGAAGCTTCGAGTTGAGAGTTGATCCCCTGTTCATTTTCCGATCTCACCTTCGCCAAAACTAGGGCTCAGGGTTCAGGGCTCCACATAGGATGGTTGCTGGGCACCCTGAACCCCTAAACGCGTTTTGTGGGTGTTGACAGCAATCAAGTCTGCAAGTAAAAACATAAAGATTGCTCGGTCAGAGTTTAGGTGTTTAGGTGTTTAGGTGTTTAGGTGTTTAGGTGTTTAGGTGTTTAGGTGTTTAGGTGTTTAGGTGTTTAGGTGTTTAGGTGTTTAGGTGTTTAGGTGTTTAGGTGTTTAGGTGTTTAGGTGTTTAGGTGTTTAGGTGTTTAGGTGTTTAGGTGTTTAGGGCTTCGGGTTTAGGGTTAAGGGTTTGGGGCTCTGTGATTGGGAGCTCTAGGGGCTCGGGCGAGGGTTTTCAAGGAGGGTCCTAAGCCATCCTGGTCTCGAACTTGCGGTCGACTCCAGAAGGTGGGAGTTTAAGCGCGCAAGCCCGCTACTCGACAGGGTTTGGGGTTTGGGGTTTGGGGTTTGGCGGGTGGGACGAAAGAAGCCAGCATGCCGCCCGTGACTGTTGGCATCTTGGCCAACAAAGAAGCCCTTCGCGACACATGCCCCAGTCAGCTTTCTTTCTACCCTCTTTCAAGGGTTCTGAAGTATGGGCCCGTGGGCTGTCTGGGGTATATAAGGGGGTATATTTAAGAGCCTCCGGCTCAAGCCGCCGACCCCGCTGGAGCATAGTTGAGAGGTCTAAACCCGCTCGCATGGTTCGAAGATCATCCCAGCCTGCTCGGCAGAGTTCTCTGCAACGTTCGGGGGGGGGTGGGGGGGTGGGGGGGGGGGGGGGGGGGGTGGGGGGGGGGTGGGGGGGGGTGGGGGGGGGGGGGGGGGGGTGGGGGGTGGGTGGGGGGGGGGGGGGGCTTGCTGTTTAGTCATGCAGTCCCATAGTGGTCCCTTAGAAAATCTTGCCCGAAACCGTCTCATTCCAATCCGTGGCCCCCAAACCCTTTCGAGTTTGGTGTTTAGGGTTTACACCCTAAACCCTAAACCCGAAGCCCGAAACCCTAAACGACCCAGGCATGCCCCGGGTGGGGGTGGGGGTGGGGGGGGGGGGGGGGGGGCGGGGGGGGGAGGGGGGGGGGGGGGTGGAAAACGCTGATTTTGCTGAGGGCGCCCCTACCCCCCTGTGCTGAACCGCCTGTTTACGCTGTGCGGGTGGCGCGGTCCTCCACGAAAAAATTGTGCACCGACCCCCCCCACCCCCCCCCCCGCGTTTTGGGGGGGTAAGGAGGGAAAGAGGGATGAAAACCTCCTTTTCCCATCCAACACGCCGCCAGGGTCGGCGGATACCCGGCACCCATTTAAGAGCCCATACCAAGGGACGACTCAACCCTAAACCCTAAACCCTAAACCCTAAACCCTAAACCCTAAACCCATCCTTGAGCCAGGCTCGCATTGGGGAGGCTTCCGCCCCCGCCGATGCCGTCATTGTCGGCGGTGGCCTGGCTGGGTGGCTCGCCTGCGCACTGGGTTTAGGGTTTAGGGTTTCGTGTTGGGGGCCCCTAAAGGCAAGGACCCTCCTTAGGGGGAGCTTCATGGAAGCGTGAAAGCTCCGTTCATGTTTTGCGATTTGGATTGCGTTTGAGGGGTTCTCCTATATGAGGCGGCAGTGTGGGTTGTCAGGCTACAAGCCCCTCAATAGTCCCACGCCATGAACCTCAAAATGCCCAGAATCAAACCTACTCATGCCCTAGCCCTAAACCCTAAACCCTAAACCCTAAACCCTAAACCCTAAACCCTAAACCCTAAACCCTAAACCCTAAACCCTAAACCCTAAAGCCTAAACCCTGAACTTAAACCCTCAACCCCCAAAAAACTACCACTGAGGATGGCTGCAGCCATGTCCCTCCTCGACCGCGGCGGCACCGTCGTCATGATCGAGAAGCCTGAGTCCCAGCTGGGGGTGGGGTTTAGGGTTTAGGGTTTAGGGTTTAGGGTTTAGGGTTTAGGGTTTAGGGTTTAGGGTTTAGGGTTTAGGGTTTAGGGTTTAGGGTTTAGGGCTTGCCCTCAATCAGTCGGAGTTTTTGGGGGGTTGAGGGTTTATTCTAGGGTTTAGCGTTCCGGGTTTCGTTTAGGGTTTGGGTTTTCGGGTTTAGGGTTTAGGGTGTTGGGGTTAGGCTAGGGTCTATTGTCTTCCCAAGCCCAGCCCCCCTCACCCCTAAGCCCACAGCCATAGGCCCGGCTTCGCCTCGAAGCGTGTGCTTTGGAGGTACAGGTTGTTCAGGGTCCTCAAGGCATGAAACTGGGGCTGCTGTTAAGGAGCTCAAGTGAAGTTCCCACAACAAAGGGCTACATGTGTAAACAGGCCATCACAAAGTCTTCAAGCTCCGCGGATACAGCCTACAAGCCCAAGACACAGCGTCTTCGGTGAGGTGTGTAACATCGGCTTGGCTGGTGCAGGTTCGGCTTGGCTTCGTTTTGAGTAGTGTTTTGGGTGGTCTTGGGGTGGGCATGTCTGCTTACTATTGAACGCTTACTAGACCCTAAACCCTCCTAAACCCTAAACCGGACCCTCATCTTCAGTCGTTTGGAGCCCTCAACAGGCAGCCATACTTGGGTGGCAACTCTGGCAAGGCTTCGTCAGGCCTGGGGGGAAAGCCTTGCAAGGGTTTAGGGTTTAAAGTTTAGGGGTTAGGGCGTAGCCAAGCCCTGAGAACGTTACACGCAGAATTAGCTCCTTGACTCACAACCCCTTAAACCCTAGCTCCAGCCGCCTTTTTTGGCAGATTGGCTTGAGCTCTGCTGTGCCATCAGGATTCTCGGTCTACCGGGTTGGGCTTCTGGGGGATACTGACCTAAACCCAAACCCTGAACCTTAGACCCTAAACCCTGAACTCCCTGAGCCCTAATACTAAGCCCCCAAACCTGAACCCTCAACCCTAAATCCTCAACCCTAAAACCCAAACCCCTAGAACCCAACACCCTAAAGCCTAAACCCTAAACCCCTGAACCCTAAACCCTAAACCCTAAACCCAAAACCCTAAACCCTAAACCCTAAACCCTGAACCCTGAACCCTAAACCCTTCAAAGACTCATGCCAGCTCTAGGCATCAACGCCGCGCTGGAGACGTCAGTGGAGTCCCTGGTGGCAGACACCACGAAGAGTGCCGGCAAGCGACACGGCAAGCCTGGGTTTTGGGGTTTGGGGTTTGGGGTTTAGGGTGTAAGGTTTAGGGTTTGGGGTTTAGGGTTTAAGGTTTAGGGTTTGGGGTTTAGACCCGATCTCCGCCTCCCACCAGTACAATGAGATTCTGGGAATCCTTTGTGACATCTCTGGAACCCTAAACCCGCAAGAATCCCTTCAACCCGAAACCCTGAGCCCTAAACCCTAAACCCTAGCCCTAAACCCCAAACCCTAAACCCTAAACCCTAAACCCTAAACCCGAGCTCAACCAAGGCTGGCGCGGCCCGACTTGATCGAGCGACTCGCCACGGAGTCGTCTGAGGCAGTTCAGTGGCTCAGGCAGGGGGGTTTAGGGTTTAGGGTTTAGGGTTTGGGGTTTAGGGTTTGGGGTTTAGGGTTTAGGGTTTAGGGTATCCACGAACTGCCTCGCAGGGTCCTAGCGCTTAGGGTTGATGGTTTAGGGTTGAGGGTCTGAATCCTACAGTCACGGGTTTAGGGTGCGGGGGGATTGGGAGGCCGAAGGTTTTGGTCTGAAAAGCGCCTTGGTGTGTTGTATAACTTCTTCGATGGCATGCAGAGGTTTAACTCCCATAGCCCACCTTACTAACCCTGCCTACCAAGTCAACAGGGCTTCCAAGTAGGGACCCTTGTTTTAGAGAACTACCCTAAAAACCCTATACACTAAACCCTAAACCCTAAACCCTAAACCCTAAACCCTAAACCCTAAACCCTAAACCCTAAACCCTAAATGCCTCCCGACCCTTTCACCCCCAAGCCATAAGCCCTCCTTTCTCAGCCCAAAATGCCCCTAGGCGGAGAGGCGGGGTCGGTGCTTGGCTTTAGGGTTTGGGGTTTAGGTTTAGGGGTAGGGTTTAGGGTTTAGGCTTTGGGGTTTAGGGTTTAGGGTTCAGGGTTTAGGGTTTAGGGTTTAGGGTTTAGGGTTTAGGTTTTAGGGTTTAGGGTTTAGGGTAGTAACCATAACTCGGCTTGAGGGTCTTCGGGCCTCAGGGTCTTAAGGTCTTGAGGTAGCTATAGGGGTTCAGGGTCTTAGGGCCTTAGGTTTCATGTAGGGTCTTAGGGTCTAGAGTTTACATAGCGTCTTAGGGTTTAGGGTCTTAGGGTCTTAGGGTTTATATAGGGTCTTGGGGTTTGTTATATGCGGTCTTAGACTTTGGGGTCCAGGCTTTCGGCTTGAGGGTCCTAAACCCTATAGCCCTGAACCCTAAACCCTAAACCCTAAACCCGAAACCCTAAACCCTAAACCGGCGGTGCCAGGGACCGGACGAAGGTGGACTTGTCGATGCGCTCGCAGCTGGGCGGCCACACGGCCAAGCGCACGCTCAGGCCGGGCCTCAAGGGAGGGTTTAGGGTTTTTGGGGTTTTGGATTTTTTTTGGGTTTGTTTGGGTGTTTGGTCTTTTTTTGGTTTCGGGTTTTTGGGTTTTGGGTTTTTGGGTTTTTGTTGGGTTTTCGCTATTTGGGTTTGTGGGTTTTTGGGTCTTTGTTTTGGGTTTTTGGGTTTTCGGGGTTTCGGGTTTTCGGGTTTTCGATTTGTTCACAATAATTTTTGGGGTTTGGGTTTTGGGTTTTGGGTTGGGTTATGGCTTGGGATCCTCGCTCTCGGTGGTTGTGCGGTTCGGGTAAGCATGTGAGTCAAATCTGGCGGCTCCTTTGGATAGGGTGTAGGGTTATAGGTTTATGGGGTTATAGGGTTATAGGGTTCTCGGGTTATAGGGTTATAGGGTTATAGGGTTATAGGGTTTTAGGGTTTAGGGTTTAGGGTTTAGGTTTAAGGGTTAAGGGTGATGAGCTAGGTTCGATACGTCAGGCGCGTCCCATGATTGAAGAAAGAGCAGGGAGCTTTCCAGATACGAAAGGCACCCTTCCAAAGGATGCATCTAAGCCGTCAAAAGGCAGCTCCTTCCTAACGCCTTGGGATGTTGCCCCCTTATGCCGACAGCCCTTCAAAGGCATTATAATAGGGTTGCTGCCAAAATCCCTTAATCCCCTTATGCTGACAGTCCTCAGTGTCCTTAATAGGGATTATAGTGGGGGTTACTAGAATCCCTATTCAGGAGCTTGTTTGTATAAGGGGGAGCATCCTCAGCAACGCCAGAGAAATGAAGCCATGCCCAGTGACAGTTCCAAGGCGGCTTTTGAGGGAGTTCATGAGCAGCCCGGGCCCCGAAACCCTAAACCCTAAACCCTAAACCCTAAACCCTAAACCCTAAACCCTAAACCGCAAACCCTAAACCCTAAACCCTAAACCCTAGACCCAAAACCCTGAACCCTACTAGACCCTAAACCGTAAGCCCTCAGCACGTCCCGTGCGCATCAGCACGCGAGCACGGTGTGTCCTCCGGCTCGGAGAGAAGTACACCCTAAGGTGTAGGGTTACCCCAATCAGTCCCTAAACCAGAACCCCATATGCCCCCAGCACCCGTAACACCCTAAGTCGTGAGCCCCACTCCTGAACCCTGTGCCCACCCTGGCCTCTTCTACCCCCTAAAACCCCAGCACCCAAACCCTAAACCCCAAACCCCAAACCCCAAACCCCAAACCCCAAACCCCAAACCCCAAACCCCAAACCCCAAACCCCAAACCCCAAACCCCAAACCCTAAACCCTAAACCCTAAACCCTAAACCCTAAACCCCAACCCTTGTGCCATGTGCTCGGCAGGCCCTCCAATGCCTTTGTCGGTGCGGAGCTGACCTTTGCGGCCGGGCAGGTCGGCGTCCGGTATTGGGTTTAGGGTTTAGGGTTTAGGGTTTAGGGTTTAGGGTTAGGGTTTAGAGTTTAGGGTTTAGGGTTAGGGTTTAGAGTTTAGGGTTTTTTGGCTTTGGGGTTTAGGGCGCCGCAAAGATGCCAGGCATAAACGCCCCTTGTTCCTAGAAGCCCTCTATGAGCCACCGCAGAAGATAGACAGCCATACGAGCAGAAAAGCTCGGGCTTAGGGTTTAGGGTTTAGAGTTTAGGGTGTAGGGTTTAGGGTTCAGGGTAGGTAGCCTCAAACCTTCAGCCCGAGAGCCTAAACCCTAAAACTCAAACCCTAAACATCAGGGCTCTCTTTAGCTGTTGGTGTCTGCAAGATGCCGAGATGCCAAGGTGTAGGAGTTTGGGGGTTAAGGTTTAGGGTTTCGGGTTGGCCCGATTGCGGACAGCACCTTCATCTCAGGGTCTATGCAAACCTTGAGTTAGGGTTTAGGGTCTGGGTTGAGGGTTCAAAAAGCTGTAAACCCGTGAACCCCCTAAAACCCCAACACCCCAACACCCTACAGCACTAAAGGCCTTCACCCGAAAACCCCAAACCTCACTCCCCCCCCCTTGCCCCAAAGGAAATCTAATTGTTAAGGGGCCTGAACACCTAAACCCAAAATTCCCAAACCCTAAGCCTTAAAACCTAAACCCTAAACCCTAAGTCCTAAACCCTAAACCCTAAACCCTAAACCCTAAACCCTAAACTCTAAACCCTAAACCCGAAACCCTAAACCCTACAGACTGCGAGGTGCTCACGAAGATGGCGGCGGAGTACCGGGACCGCTTCCGGCTGCTCTTGAAGTCCAAGTGGGTCGGGCTCAGGAGGCGCAGGGTTTAGGGTTTAGGGTTTGGGGTTTAGGGTTTGGGGTTTAGGGTTTAGGGTTTGGGGTTGCACTAGTAGTGTTTACGCTGCACTTCAAGACAGCAACTTCCAGAAAAGAAGGGGGCGACAAATGCATACAAATGCGGCATCCGAAACGGTTTGGGGGTTGAGGGGTTTAGGGGTTTAGGGGTTTAGGGTTTAGGGTTTGGGGTTTGGGGTTTAGGGTTTAGGGTTTGGGGTTTGGGGTTTAGCAGTCTCGAAACTCCTACCCAAAAACCGTGTCAGAAAAGCAACCGGAAGCCGCGCGCGCTGCAAATTACAGGAGATTCCAATGCGCGCGACGCGAGGGTTTAGGGTTTAGGGTTTGGGGTTTAGGGTTTAGGGTTTAGAGCTAGTTGCAAAAAGGGTTTAGGACTCGAGTACAGATTTGGCGCTTGCGGGGCTCGCGGGTGTCGGTTCCCTAAGCCCCAGATAAAACCCGAGCACGGGTCCTTCAAACGTAAAGGAGCCCTACACCACTAACCACTAAACCACTAAACCCTAAACCCTAAACCCTAAACCCTAAACCCTAAACCCTAAACCCTAAACCCTGAAGGCCCCTCAAGGATGCAAAGCCCTCCCATGAAGCCCCAGGCGCGAAGGCTCCGAGGGATGGATCGCTGACGTGCAGGCCAACGGCACCACGGTGGCGCCTCGGCAGCACCGGGGGGGAGGGTTTAGGGTACTAAAGCCTAAACCCTAAACCAAAAACACCTTAAACCCTAAACCCTAAACCCCAAACCCGAAACCCTAAGCCCTAAACCCTAAACCCTAAACCCTGAACCCTGAACCCTAAACCCTAAACCCTAAAACCTAAATCCTAAACCCTAAACCCCAAACCCCAAACCCCAAACCCTAAACCCTAAACCCAGCCAGCACAGGAGGTGCACGGGGCAGCGATGGTGATCGCTTCAGGGGGCTTTGGCCACGACTCGAAGGTGCCTCGACTTTTTTAGGGTTTAGGGTTTAGGGTTAGGGTTTAGGGTTTAGGGTTTAGGGTTTAGGGTTAGTTAGGGTTTAGGGTTTAGGGTTTAGGGTTTAGGGTCTAGGGTCTAGGGTTTAGGGTTAGGGTTTAGGGTTTGGGGTTTAGGGACTTTTAGGGGCTTTAGGGGAGTTTTAAGGACTTTAACGGACTTGAGGGAGTTTCGGGACTAGGGGCTTGAGGGGTGTCAGGGGCTTTAGGGGGCTTCAGGGGTTTTAGGGGGTTTCAGGTGTTTTAGGGAGGTTGGGGGTTTTTTTTGGGGGGGTTCGGGTGTGGGGCTTAGGGCCAGTGGTCACAGGGCCGGGGCAAAGGGCTCATGGATTGCGGTTCTGGGCTATGGGGGGGTTGAGGCGGTTCTGGCTGGGATGGTACCCCTGTTAGTAAAGGACTGCTAGCACATCGTAAGGTTTAGGGTCTAGGGTTTAGGGTGTTCGGTTTTTGGCGGTCTAGCTGCTGAGCAAGCTCCAGTCACAAGCCTTTGCGAGAGGCTCAGATTTGGGGGCTGACTTTCTCTTTTTGGCTTTGGGGTTCAGGATTTAGGGACTTTCTCTTTTTGGCTCTAGGGTTTCGAGGAACCCGGAGCCCTAAACCCAGACGGCCGTAGGTCCCTTACCTTCCCTGAAGGGTGCTGAAGTATGTGCGCCTTAATTTTTACAAGGTAGATCAGGGGGCATCGAAGGCTCCCCAATCGAGGGCGCATGTGAAGGGACCCTAAACCCCAAACCCAAAACCCTAAACCCTAAACCCTAAACCCTAAACCCTAAACCCTAAACCCTAAACCTTAAACCCTAAACCCTAAACCCTAAACCCTAAACCCTAAACCCTAAACCCTAAACTTTAAACCCTAACCACCCCAAGAACTTGTGGCCCCCCCACCTCCAAGTGCCTCTTGCCAGGAGGTGGAAAGCCTGCTGCTGAAGTACCGCTGGGGGCCTTGGCGGGATCCAACGCCCTTGGAACCCTAAACCCTAGACCCTAAACCCTAAACCCTAAACCCTAAATCCTAAACCCTAAACCCTAAACCCTAAACCTCGGGTGACCACCCCAAAGTCTGTGCCCATCCCTTCTCGCCGCGCTCCTTCCTCTTACCACGCTTACGTCATGCGCGCCTTGTCGCGCTCAGGATTCAGGGACGGTTGAGGGCTTAGGGTTTAGGGTTTGGGATTGAGGGTTTAGGGTTTAGGGTTTAGGGTTTAGGGTTTAGGGTGACTCCGTGCCGGCCCAGCCCCTGCTTTCAAGACCCTTGCAACAGCCGTAAGTAGTTCAAGATCATGAGCGACCAGCTCCCGCTTCTTATCAAAGCCGGGCACCCTCTTGACTCCCTAGGGCGCTGAAGGACGTTTAGGGTTTAGGGTTTAGGGTTTGGGGTTTAGGGTTTAGGGTTTAGGGTTTAGGGGCGAGTATGATTTGTGGAGCCAACCCTCAACCCTCAAACCTCAAACCCTGAACCCTCAACCCACTGAGGATGTTCCCCCTATGTCCCCCTTATGCTGACAATTCTTAATCGGGATTGTAGTACCCGCCCCCCCCCCCCCCACCCCCCCTATAGTCCCCAACAAGGACTCTGAGTATAAGAAAACAAATCCCAACCCTAAACCTTCAACCCTAAACCCCAAACCCCGGTGTCTGGTAGTCCCGGCGCTTTTTTGGGGATCCGCCTGGGGCCCACATGACATGGTAAACCTTGGCTGGCCCCGAACCTCAAACCCAAGGGTGGTCTCAGGGTTCCTTCATATGGTCCCTGACCCTCTTTAAAAGGGTTCTGAAGTATGGGCCCTTCTGTGTTATAGGGCGTAGAAGGTGTCCCGATTTCCCCAATACAAGGGGCCCATATCCAGAGACACTCCAAGATTTCTTGAGTACTTACCTGATTTACCTCTGAAGCCTGTATCTTCTCGCTTCTCGCAAGCTCCCTGAACCCACAACCCAACTCCTAAACCTCCTCACGCCCTGAGTCCCCCCCTCACCCCCTAACCCCCCTAAACCCCCCCACCCCCCCACCCCCCCCACCCCCCCCCCCCCACCCCCCACCCCCCCCCCCCACCACCCCCCACCCCACCCCCCCCCCCACCCCCCCCGCAACCCCCCCCCCCCCAACCCGCCCCCACCCCCCCCCACACCCCCCCCCCCCGCCCCCCCCCGCCGCCCCCCCCCCCCCCTCCCCCCCCCCCCAAACCTCCCTAACCCCCCTAAACCCTTAACCCCCCAACTCCAGGCCCAGATCTGGCGAACTTTCCCACGACGCTGGGCGCCCAGACCACGGGCGACGGCGTGAGGATCGCGCGGGACATCGGCGCGAGGCAGCGAACGTTTAGGGTTTGGGTTCTGGGGGGTTGAGGGGTTTTTAGGGGGGTTTAGGGTTTCGGGTTTAGGGCAAAGGCGTTCAGGGCTTCAGTATTTAGGGCTTAGGCTTCAGGGGTTCAGGGTTTCAGGGCTTCAAAGGGTAGGGTTTCAGGGTTTTCAGGGTTTTCGGGGCTTTCGGGGCTTTCGGGGCTTCAGGATTCTCAGCAGGGTTTCAGGGTTCTCAGCTAGCAACCTGCAGTGGGGGGTTGGGGTGTGCCAGTAGGGGGGGGGAGGGTCTTTGGGTGGGGGTGCGGGTCTTTTGGGTTTAGGGTTTTGGGTGTTGGGTGGGTGAATGCACCTTTTTCTCGACAGGCTTTAGACATTTGACCCTAAACCCCACAATCCCAAACCCTGAGCCTGCACCCTAAACCGTAAACCCAAAACCCTCAATCCCAAACCCTAAACCCTAAACCCTTAGCCTTGAATCCCAAGCGCAAGCTAGCCAGGGCCTTCTGCGAGAATCTTCACATAGTGGTTTCCGAAATTAGGGTACCTTATTGGTGTCCTTATCATAAGGGAATCCTACGGTTTGGGGGGGGGGGGGGCCCTAAACCCTGAACCCTAAACCCTAAACCCTAAACCCTAAACCGGGGGGGGGCTATTTTGGGGGTCCCCGATTTTTTTGCAAACCCCCCACATCTTGTGTCTTCCTTATGATTCTGACAACCGTCAAAATGTTTACTTCTCCCCCCAGATGAGTAAGCCCCTAAACCCTAGGCTCCAAACCCTAGGCCCTAAACCCTAAACCCTAATCCCTAAACCCTAAACCCCAAACCCTAAACCCTAAGCCCTAAGCCCTAAACCCTGCCCCGGAGCCCCTAGGCTTTAAAGGAAGCTTTGGCCACACCCCCTCTACAACGCAAGATCCCCCAAGTGGAACCTGGGTTGAGGCTTGAGGCGTCTAGGGTTTTAGGGTTTAAGTTTGGGGCGTTTCGGGTTTAGGGTTTAGGGGTTTGGGGGGCCGCCGCCGCGGCGGGTAGAGATTTGGGCTTCAGGGGTTCAGGCTCCAGGGTGTTGAGTGTAGGGAGTGCTTCGGTCATAGGGTTTCGGGGTCTTGCAGGCACGATTACCCACCCCTCACCCACGCCCGCCTCCCACCCAACAGTAAACGCTAAACCTCAAACACTAAACCCTAAACCCTAAGCCCTAAACCCTAAACCCTAAACCCTGAGCCCTAAGCTCTAAGCCCTAAGCCCTAAACCCTAAACCCTAAACCCTAAACCCTAAACCCTGAACCCGAAGCTCTAGGCCCTAAACCCTACTCAACCCTAACCCTAAGCCCTAAACCCAAAAGAAAACAAGGAGGACCCTGTTCTTAGAAGATCCCCTCATCTCCTCGAAGGCTGGTGGATATGGACCGTGTACAGCTGCATCCAACCGGTCGCCTGCCTAACCCTAAACCCTAAACCCTAAACCCTAAATCCTAAACCCGAAACCCTAAATCCTAAACCCTAAACCCTAAACCCCAAGCCCTAAATCCTAAACCCTAAATCCGAAACCCTAAATCCTAAACCCTAAACCCTCATCCCTGCAGCCTCCTAAAGCTTTTTTTGGGGTTTTCGAAAATAGAGGTGCCCTTTTTGGGGCCCCTTTAGGGGGATTCTGTTCTAGTCAGGGTATAAAAGGGGTACCCCTATTTTGGGAAATGCCCATGTCCTGCGCAACCTAGCAGGACATATCAGAGTCGCTCAATGTCCAGCCTGGGCTAGGAATTTGGGGCGTTTTCAGGCTTCTTCGGTGTTCTCGGGGGGCTGTGGGGGTTGTAGGGGCCAAATAAGTGTTTTTGCGGTCAGTTCTTTTCGGCTTTTACGGGTTTTGTGGTGTTGGGCGTCAGAGTTTTGGGGCGTGGGGGGTTCATGCCGAAGTTAGTACATGGCGCTGCCGCCCGCAGCGCACGCTCAAGAGCCTAGACGTCCGCAAAGCAAAACGCAGCTAAGTACAGGGAGCACACCTAAACCGCAACCCCAAACCCTAAACCACAAACCCTAAACCCCAAACCCAATACCGGCCATGCTACTATGGGGAACCAAGCCCTAAACCCCAATTAGACCCGAAACAACGGCAGGGTCGAAGGTCGGAGCCCGTAAGCTCGATGTTGCGGTGGGCATCTGCCATACTGGTTCTTACTAGAGGATGAGGGAGTCTTTTTCCGCCTGTAGAATCTTTTTCAGGGTGATTTATGGTGATAAGGTACCTAATTTCCCATTCCCTACTCGGAGCCATTGCGTCATGTCCCTTACGATTGAGGTCAGCCTGCTGAGTGGCAGGTCGGTTTCACTGGAAGCAGGTCCGGATGAGTCTGTAGCAACATTGAGGAGCCGAGCACAGACGACTCTGGCGGTGGGAAGGGGCCGACTCCTGGACTCCTCTGGAGGCGTTCTGGATGCAGCGGCCACGCTTGGGGGCTATAGGCTGCAGAGCGGCGACACACTGACCTTGCGGATCAGCAGCGTCCGCGTCGGCGGAAACCGCTCGGCTTTTGCTGCAATCCTCGGCGATGGGTTTGTTGCGACGTGGGGCAAACAGAACTCCGGTGGTATTAGCAGTGCTGTGCAGGATCAGCTCAAGGACGTGCAGGAGATACAAGCTTCCAGAGAGGCTTTCGCTGCCATTCTGAGCGATGGGTCCGCTGTGGCTTGGGGCGATAAGAACTTTGGTGGCAACAACAGTGCTGTGCAGAGTCAGCTGCATGACGTGCAGCAGATCCAAGCAACTTGGTATGCCTTTGCTGCCATTCTGGGCGATGGGTCTGTCGTGAGCTGGGGCGATGCTGATTTCGGTGGCAACAGCAGTGATGTGCAAGGTCAGCTGAAGGGCGTACGGCAGATCC